AGCTCTGTCCCTCAGAGCTGGGTTAATAGCTCTCAGTAGGAAATGGTTTAGATGAAAGTTTTGAACGGACTTCTTAGACCATAACATTCTTTAAATGTGTTGGACTTCTTAGACCATATCATTCTTTAAATGTGTTGGACTTCTTAGACCAAGGCATTCTTTAAATGTGTTGGACTTCTTAGACCAAGGCATTCTTTAAATGGGTTGGACTTCTTAGACCATATCATTCTTTAAATGTGTTGGACTTCTTAGACCAAGACATTCTTTAAATGTGTTGGACTTCTAAACCAATCATTAATAAATGAGTTGGAATTCTTAAACCTACCATTCTTAAATGTGTCAGGATTTTAGAACTAATTAGAGAACCTTCGCCACCACGAGGAAATTCCTTTTGAATTTCGTTGGAAGACTTTAATGGGTGAACTATGAATTAAGGTTTTATATTAGAATATAACCCCAGCATGATATGTTTAGTATGATTATAATGTGGTAAAGAGAGAAGGTAAAAACCCTGTATTAGTTTGGACCTATTTTTCTTCAAATAAACTGATCCCACCTTTTGGATTGGGACAACTTAAAAGACATCTGCGCTCTCCTCTCCTGCTTCAAAGGTAAGATTGCACCCTGCCACACTCACACTTAGGTAGGGCCACACCTTATTTACTGATATCAAAATCCGTCGGGATCCCTTAAACAGATTTAAGAGAGTTGTCTGAATTGAAACAGCAGTTAATTGAACCTGGTTCTTCAGGAGTTAATAGAGGTGAGATCTTGCTGACGTTGGTGGATCTGAGCCAAGCAGTAAACTTACACATTACATTACATGTCACTTGTTAGACTCTTTTATCCAAAGCGACTTAATAATAATAATAATAATAATAATTTCAATTTATATAGCGCCTTTCACGAAACCCAAGGACGCTTTACAATGGGAAGTAACAAAACAAAAAGTAATAATAAAGAGACATAGGCTGAAGAAAACAAAAACAGGAACAGGTTGCTGAGTACTGTATATTAGTTGAGGCCAAAGGCCTGAGTGAACATACTCAGTACTGTGGGCAATCCCCACAGGAGCAAGTTTTGGTGAAGTGTCCCAGGGACACAACGACATGCTGACTGCAGTGGGGTTTGAACCTCTGCTCCCCTGATCCGAACACAAATGCACAACCCACTGCACCACACGCCCCCATATACTCAATAACTTCGGTTAGGTCAATTAGTAGGTCAGAGTAATTTCCCGGAATAAATTATCAGATCCTCACCAACTCTTACAGTATGCAGCCTAGGTCTGCTCTGTTTAATAAAGCAAATCTGCCACTTTTATATTGTAGAATTTGTTAAATTAAAGCAGGTTTTAATTGTTTGTCCTAAACATAGCAATATACAGTATGCTTTTGAAATGTAACATGTCTTTGAAAAATAATAGTATACAGTTTATATTGTGTATCACCTTTAGCTTGAAAATACATAGATGTGTATTTTATATCTATAACATAAATAAATAGACACACTTTATCAATCCCAAATTGGGAAATTATTTTACAGCAACAGTTTGTTCAGGTATTAAAGTATTTAAAGTTGGAATAAAGTATAAACTACACAACACAAGTATAATGCACAGCAATCCATAAGAGAAGTCCGATATGTTCATGAAACTCCAGGAGACACCAACACTAACGGAGCGTCCACACAGCAGCGTGCGTTGACGCTTGGAGGTGGGCGTATCTGAAGCTTGGGGATTTTTTGCGAGCAACGCGACCAACAACCAATCACATGAATCTCCCGCCCCCGACATACAAAGCAATAGCAATGTTAAAACGAAGTAAACTGGATATAAAATCCCCTAACAGGCGAAAACCTACCAGTTTCACCCACTGTCTCCGCCTCCTCCCTCCATGCCTCGCTCCTCCGGTTTGTATCCCGGTAGATGAACAGAGACTGATCATACAGCACCGGGTGATTCACTACCGCTGTAATGAATTTTCCCTCCATTTTTTGGAATATGAGGAAATGACCTGCGTAGTCTCTCCCAGCATACACGGTTTGATTGGCTAGCGCTTGTACTGGCAGATTTGCATAAACGGGATTTCATTGGCAGACGCCTCCGTCGAGGCGTCAAAAGTTGAACATTGCTCAACTTTTGAAGCCAGCAACGCTCCACGTCGCTTCCCAAAATGCAGTTCTGCTAAAAGTGACGTCACCCCATTCAAAGTGAATGGGCAGAAGCGTTGGAAGCTTCAACGCACGCCGCTGTGTGGACGGGCCGTAACGGAGCCTACACACGGCGGCGTGCGTTGCCGCTTGGCAGTGGGCGTGTCTTGAGCTTGGGGAGTCAACGCGAGCAACGCGACCAACAACCAATCACATGAATGTCCTGCCCCGGACATACAAAGCAAAGCATTCATGCTATATCCATGCTGGCTAAATATACTGTCTATGCTTGCTAGCTGTCCATTCAAACGGAGTACACTGGATATAAACTCCCCAAACAGGTGAAAACCTACCAGTTTCACCCACTGTCTCTGCCACCTCCCCCCATGCCTGGCTCCTCCGGTTTGTATCCCTGTATGTAAAGAAGGACTGGTCATATAGTACCGGGTGATTACCTACCGCCACGATAATTTTCTCCTCCATTTTTTGACATGGGAAATAACTGCGGTCTGGCTCTCCCAACATACACGCGGTTTGATTGGCTAGCGCTTGTACTGTCAGATTCGCATACGCGGGATTTGATTGGCTGACGTCTCCATCGAGGCGGCAAAAGTAGAACATTGCTCTACTTTTGCAGCGAGCACCGCGAGAGAAGCTACGCTTTGCTCCCACAATGCAGTTCGGCGAATCGTGACGTCACCCCATTCAAAGTGAATGGGCAGAAGCGTTGAAGCGGCAACACACGCCGCCGTGTGTAGGGGCCGTAACTTGGCCGACTGGACTCCGGAGTTTGCTGCATGAGTTGCACTGTATGATCTGTGGTGTAGTGGGATGTCACTCAAAAACTGAGTAGCCAATGAGGACGCACCCCTGAAAGTCCCGCCCACCTGGGATGTTTGTGTCAAAATCGAAAACAAAAAATGAGGGAGCACAAACGAGAAGAGCTTCAGTGAGAGCAAAAGCCTGATCATCGAGAAAGAAGCAAAGATAACTGCAAACAAAAATATATGTTAACTCTTAAGCCCCACAGACCCGTTCCGGGGCCGAAATCGCGTCATTTGCAGAATACAACATCTAAGGAACCTTAATATTTAATAAACTATGAATATTTTATATCCATATAACTGGAAAAAACTCATTTAACTGATCTTTTTCATTTTTTCCCCAAAAAAAACACACAATGCTAACAGTGAGCCTCTGAATTAGCCCTGAACGAAAAATGCTAACCTATTACTGCACCCTTATTACTTATCCTAGCTGCACATCCAACACATCGTTTATGATCGTAAAGACACAGAATCTAACGGTGCCCACCTCAACACTGAAAGATACAAACTCGCGACGTTATCAACAAAAACGTACATCAAAACATGTGGCGCTATGTAGCCTACAACGCTAACATGGCTTACCTTCGTAGCTTCATTGAATGCGCAAATACGTCACCTTTTTTTTAACATGAGTGTGTGCGGGACGATTTCCCTTAGATTCTATTGGCTCTAACGGTCAGAAAGAGATGTCACATGTCAAAATCAAAGAAGGGGGGCCAGAGATAAGGAAAATCCACCCAAATGGCCCCAGAAGAGGTTTTTTTTGCTAAATCTGTCTAAAAAGGTCAAATATAACTTTTTTTTGCATCAATCTTGATACAGGGTACTTATTATATGTTGTACTTTGGATTCCTAAAGCTTTTAGTCTACTAACCCATCATCCAAGGTTAGTTTTCACTATAAGTACAACATATCTTTTGGACGGACAGTATCATTTACAGTTTTTTACCATGTTCAATCTGAATTGTCTTTAAAATAAAAAAACATCTATATTGATTCTGACTTTTCTACATCCAACTCACAGGTTTATCATTACTTTGAGAAAAAAGATTATTAATGTAACCCTTTTAGAAGGGAAGATATGGTCATTTGTTCTGGGAATGTCATTTTCGAGCCTGAAACCTGAAAAACAGGCTCAGTGCTTAAGAGGTTAAAAAAAGACTTATAGTTTACATGATTACACAAATGATTTGTTTGCAACTTATAGTTTTACTTTTGAAATAAAATGTATTTTGCTTGACTCAGTTTTTTCCCCTCTTAAACTCTTAGTTTTGCTTGATTCTGAGAAAGTGTTGCTTTATCTTTATGAAACAAAACTAATCCCATAGTTCCCTACCATACAAAACACATTTACTGCCTTTGATTCACATCCAAAGGTTCCAATGTTTAACTCAATTAGTTAATCTGGCATTTTATAACAAGTAACAATTAAAGTTGGTAGTCTCCACCAAAAAAAGAAATGTTTCAGTTTTTCTGTCAGTCTATGATTGCATGTGGTGTACCACAGGGTTCAATCCTAGGTCCTTTCACTTTGTCATTATCTCTGAGCACAATGTGATCGTAGGTTCTATTGGAACAGCAGCTTGTGTTGTTCAAGACCTTTTAAATGTTGGGTATGAAGAAAATTAGATTATGATAATTTTAAACAGATTTTTCTCTAGATGAAAAACCTCTCACTAATCTGACTTCATGTTAACGCCCGTCATTGTTATTGCTATGTTTTTTTTTAAACTGACTGATCAAACACTTCAAATCACCTCTCTCTATGAACTGGTTTGCATCACAGATTCAAGTTTTGATTGCTTTTGTTCTTATCTTTAGACAATACAATTCTCTGTTGGTCTGTGATTAATCGTGGTGTACCACAGGGTTCAATCCTAGAACCTCTGACTTTTTATTTACAGACTGCCTTTGGATCTGTTACCCAGGAGGAAGTGTAACTGAGAGAAGTGGAATACAGATCTAAGAGGAGTGAGAGATTCAGGGAGGAGCTAAGATGTTCCTGAACTATAGAAGAGAGAGGAACTTCCATATTCACCAGAGTTCAACACAGACCATCATCATCACCTTCATTCAACATGCTGTCATTACATCATTGTTTCATTTTGTTATGTTTAGTGTCCGTTCTAAGAGGTATGTAACATTCTGAGCGAAAACGTTTAATTACAGATTAATTTAATTTCACCTTAATTCAACATGCTGTCATTAGACTATTATTTACATTCTCTACTGTTAGTTTCCATTCTAAGAGGTACGTGACATTCTGCATGCAAATGTTAACTTCCAATGTTGATCAAGTGTGATCTATTAACTGAGTCTTTTGAATTACTCCTCTCTTCAGGGGTCAGCTGTGAAGATCTCACTGCATTACAGAGAGAAGAGTTCAGTCCAGAAGGCAGCTCTATTACTCTGTCCTACAGATACTCCAAACAAGCAGCTGGTGGTGATGAGTTCTACTGGTATCGACAATATCCAGGAGAACCACCAGAGTTCATCATCTCTCATTTAGGAACTGGAAACATTATGAATAATCTGATCCCTGGACTGAAGATTAAAGTGGAGTCAAACCAAATCAATCTGAGCATCTCCTCTGCTGCAGTGACAGACTCAGCTGTGTACTACTGTGCTGTGAGGCCCACAGTGACAGGAAACACCACAAGGCTGTACAAAAACCTCTGCAGCTTCTCCCTGAACATTCACACACTTCAGATCCCGCCTTTTTCTGAACAACATCGCCATCAAGTGGACACCTCGAACAGTACAACTTCTTCTCTCAAAGTGACACACATCCAACCTCTGAGGGAGACTCCAAAGATGAAGAGCAGTCGGTCCGGCCTGTGCGTCCACCGGCTCCTGAATGTGGATGAACTGGTTAAACTGGTCCTGACTAACATACGATTCACTGCAGTGTGAGGTGGAACAGTTCATGGTGAAGAACTAGCGTTAGATTGTTGCAGTGGTGTAATGTAACTAAGTACATTTACTCATACTGTACGGAAGTAAAACATTGAGGTAATTGTACTTTTATACAAATTCATACTTTGACTTCATTACATTGTGTAGGCAAGTGTTGTACTTTTTACTTCACTACGTGTATTTTACAGATTGACTGACAGCAGATTTAGGATATTAATACACAATATAAATCGACACACATTATATTATAGATGAAGCTACCCAGTACTCTATAAAGTCATTCAAATAAACCCCACCTTTACCCCCATCAATCATTTTAACAACCGAAAAGACCTGGTGCTTAAAATGGCCACTTTGCATAACGCATACTTTTACTTTTGGTACGTAAAGTATTGTTTTGTTTCTGAAAAATCAATGGAGTATTGTGAAAGGATAGAGCAACCTGACAAATCCAAACACCTCACCACATCATCACATGTATTCCAATAGTACTCCCTTCATGCTGTTCATGAGTCAAATGATACAACAAATGCCCGATTTCATGTGGGCTCGAAAGCCTGAGGAGGAAATCATGGTTTCAAAGAGTCAGCTGATAACCAGCTTTGTAGTTCCTGTTATATCTGATCAGGAGCTTTAGTTTTTCCTGATAGGCCTCCATTAGACTCTTTGTTTATTCCCCTATCAACATCTCTATGGAGCTAACCAATCAGAGCAGACTGGGCTCTGGTTTCAGACAGAGGGTGAAAAGAGGTGCTGCAGCACAGGCAGTATGAACAAAAGAAACCCCGATATTGTGATTTTTTCCCCCTGAATATCTCAACTTTTGACTTTACGGGGAATATCAACAGTTTGAGTTTTTTATAAATTCAAAGATTTCTGAAAAAATCAGAATTTTTTTTTTTTTTAACATTTTTGAGTTTATTCTTAAAATCTCAATCCAATAATTTCAAAATCCTGACTTTTTCCTTCAGACTAAAGATTTTGATATTTTTCAGAAAATACCAGAAATCAGAAATGTTCAGAAACTCTCGATATTGTGACATTTTGGGGGGAAAACAAATTCAAACTTTTTCTGAAAATTCTGAATTCTGACTTTTTCAGAAAATGTTGGAACTTTGCCCTTTCCCCTGATAATGTTTGCATCTGAAAAGATGTAGAGGGTATCCCAAACGTGCCTAAATCCTCCACCACACACACATTTAACAATAATCCATCAAAGATCACACCGAGGCTCTGGAGTCAGCAGCAGGTCTGAGAGAGAGAAGGCTTCCTGGAGCTCCTCCTTTAATGACTGGCTCTGGCTGCTGATAGGCCAGCTGAGGGTGAGGGGATCCAATCAGCCGCCAGTCTGAAGGGCTCAGGCAGGTTCTGATCAGCTGCTGATTACCTGCAGGGAAACACAGGGGAAAAGAGAGAATAGCAGGAGGACAAACAACAGCTCGCCTGCTGGCACCACGTAACACTGAGACAGAGTCATTCATAGAGTTTACATCTTCTGGTTCAGTGTAGAGTTGGTTAAGACCTGAAAAGGTGAACATGTCCAGCAAGTCTTAAAGAGTCCCTGTTCCTCTCTCTGTGGTGTTCCCTCTCCTGTAGTGTCTTCTATAGGTGCATGTAGCGACAGCAGGAAACAAACTAAGTCGCTGAGAGGCTGAGGCCCGGCCTGTTTGCTGTTGTTTGACACGTTAAAAAAGTACTCGCTGACACACCAGCCTCTAATTATTAGGATAGTATACATAATAATTAATAACAATTCAAATGGGAGACATGTGACAATTACAGCTTAGTAATCAAGTCCGTGCAGTTGCAGTTCATGTATGTGTAGTTTTCCTTCTTCTTTTCTGTGTACGAGTCATAAGTCAGTTAGGCCAAAAGGTACCACCACCTTGGCTCAGTCCAAAATAATCCTTGTGTTCTGTCAGTCGAAAAGAGTCAATATTGTGGTAAAGATGTCACAGAGGTACATCAGCAACTCTTTCTCCATTTTCAGCCTCTTGTAGTAGACAGATCTTAGTTATTGGCCGATTGAAGCAGCTGGTCTTTGTTTTAATGCGTACCTGAAGCACAAATCCTCGTTTGTCTGGAAACGTTTGCAGAACTTTTCCCATGACCCAGGAATTACGAGGTGCTGTATTGTCTACTATGAGCACTATATCACCTGGGATGAGGTTGTGCTTCACTCTTGACCATCTCTGACGTTCCTGTAGTTGGGGCAAGTATTCTTTCACCCACCTTTTCCAGATCAAGTCCGACATGTATTGAACCTGCTTCCAGCGTCTGCGGGCATACATGTCTGCCTTTTGAAAGTCTCCTGGTGGTAAAGAAGGTAAGGGTTTTAACTGCAACAGGTGATTTGGTGTCAATGCATCCAAGTCGTTAGGATCCGTAGCTGCTTTAGTAATAGACCGGCTATTGATGATAGCTTTTGTTTCACAAAGAACGGTGTGAAGGCCTTCTTCGTCCAGGTTTTGCACATTCAAAGTGGAGTTGAGGACTTTCCGCGACTTTCCGGGTTAAAAGTCCATTTGATTCCTTTCTGAAGAAGCACATCATTGATCTTTGACTGATTCCATTGTTCAATGGCTGTTCTCAGCTCACGCTTTGCTCCAATAAAGTTGTTCCATTATCAGAACGCAGTTCCAAAACTTGACCCCGTCTTGCTATAAAGCATCTGAGTGCATTTATGAAAGAGTCTGTGTCCAGTGAAGGTGCCACTTCAATGTGGATTGCTCGTATGGCCATGCAGGTAAAAATTACACCGCACCTCTTCACTAGGCTTCTTCTACTCTTCACTTCAAACAGACCAAAATAATCCACTCCAACATGAGTAAATGGTGGTTCGTCTGGAGTAACTCTTTCAGAAGGTAAATCTGCCATTTGTTGGGACATTGGCTGAGCATTCAGTCTCCGACAAGTGACACACTTAGATAGAACTCTCCGTATGGCTGTACGAGCGCCAGTGATCCAGTATATCTCTCTCAGCTTCGATAACACATGGTTACGTCCACCATGTCCAACTTCTTGATGAATATGTCTTAGGAGAACTTCTGAGATAGGGCAATCATTGGCTAGTATGACGGGATGTTTAGCCTCTGCGGGCATAGATGACCTACTCAGTCGACCACCAACTCTTAGGACATCATCTTCCACCAGTGAGCATAGTCTATAAATGTGGCTAGAACCCATAACACTTTTGCCCTTTTGCAGTCTGGAAAGTTCATCAGAAAACGTTTTCCTTTGACAGAACTTGATCATTTCTAATTCAGCCTTCTCAAGCTCCGCTACTGACAGGCAACTGGAAACTGTCTCCTTCTTGAAAATGCTCATATCTTTCTCCAATATCTTTCTTTGTTGTTCAACATCTAGAGCAGATTGTGCAAGAGCGATGTTTAGTTGTTTCTTCTTCTGGGCGCAAGACAAGAGCCATCTCTTAAACCTCAGGATCCAAGCAATGGACTTCCTCAGAACAGTCCACGAAGAGAAATAATGGATCATGCAAGTCACAGCATCAACCTCTTCACTGGCCTGCACTGCATTCACTGCAACCACTTTCTTGACCTCAGGGTCAGCTAATGAAACTTGGTGGACATTTTCAGGATTGATAGGCCACATACTCTCTGGTTGAAGGAGAAAACGTGGACCCGACAACCATGTTGCGTTCTTGAGAAATGCGTCCACTTTAGCACCTCTTGAGGCCACATCAGCTGGGTTGTTGGCACTGTCTACACATCTCCATTGAGTGGGTTTTGAGACCTTGCGAATTTCTGAGACTCTGTTGGCAACAAAGATTCTGAATCTAGAAGTTTCATTCTTGATATACTTTAGCACTGATGCACTGTCTGTCCAAAACACAGAATCCTGAAGATCTATGTGTAACTCTTGTCTCCACAAGACATCCAAGCGACTTGCCATTGTTGCAGCGATGAGTTCCATGCGAGGAATGGTAACAGACTTCAATGGAGCTACCCTAGCCTTTCCCATTACAAAAGCGCTATGTACGTGCGAGTTTCCATTATGGGACAGCAGATAAGTCACTACGCCATAGCCATCCTCACTTGCGTCACTGAAATGGTGCAGCTGTGCCCTGGTTAACTCTCCAAAGTCCAGTGGCTTCAAGCATCTCATGATGTGGAAGTCTTCCAACAGGCATAGTTCCTGAAGCCAACTTATCCACTCCTTAGCAACTGACTCAGGTATAATGTCATCCCAACTGAGCTCTCTCCTGCACAGATCCCTTAAGATTTTCTTTGCAGACAATACCACAGGACTCGAGACTCCTAAAGGATCAAAGATGGAGCTTACAGTTGAGAGAATTCCTCGTCTGGTGAGTGGTCGGTCCTTGATAACAATTCTGAACTTAAAGGTATCAGACTGAATGCACCATTCCACACAAAGTACTCTCTCCACAGGTAGCATATCTTTGTTCATGTCCAACCCTTTCATGCCCTTAGTTCTGTGACTTTCAGGTATTGCAGCTAGAACATTCCATCTGTTGCCCGCCATTTTGTAAGCAGAAATCCATCTTTAGCACAGACGGAGACAAGGTCATAATAACAAGACACTGCTTCCTCTTCCGTAGCCATCATCATCAACATAGAAGCAATATAGAATGTTATCCAGTGTTTCCTTGCTAAACTGCTCATTATTGTCTTCAGCACATTTCCTGAGAGCGAAATTTGCGCAACTTGGAGAGGATGTCGCCCCACAGAGATGCACCATCATTCTGAAGTCAGTGAGGTCTTGATTTAAATCCCCATCTGGCCATCAGAGAAACCTCAACAAATCAGCATCTTCAGGTGGTACCCTCACTTGGTGAAAAATGGATTCAATGTCTGCCATGATCACCACTGATTTTTGACTGAATTTGGTCAGCACTCCCGACAATGAACTAGTCAGATCTGGTCCCTGAAGGAGCTGAGCATTAAGAGATGTTCCCTGGAAACTTGCCCCACAGTCAAATACAACTCTGATTTTCTTTTTTGTAGGATGGTAAACACCATGATGCGGGATGTACCAGACTTTACCATCGCTGCGTTCCAATTCACCTTCTGGCACCCTCTCAGCATAGCCTTTGGCAACAAGGTCCTTCATAAATGCAGCATAATCTGCATGATAAGATGTATCCTTTTGAAACTTCTTCTTCAGGTACAAAGCACGCTGCTCAATAATCTTCCTATTGTTGGGCATGCTAAGCTCCTTTTCCCTTAATGGTAAGCCAATTTGGTAATGGCCATTCACTTGTTTTGCAGAGTTTGTGACTAACTCCATAAACTTGAGATCCTCTCTTGAC